ATGGGGAGACGGTTAGACCATTGCAGAATGCAGACTTGTGAAAGGATACGAGCCTTCCTAACGAATTCGCTGAGACGAAAACTCGTCATCATTACGAGTGTTGCAGACGTTACTCGTAGAAATACATTGCAACGTGCTTCTAACATTTTGAACCTACGTTTGCTAAGTATGAGTATATTTGCTTAGCTTAGAACCTTTCCATTATTATGTATATATCTACTACGAATTTAAAAAATTAAAAAATTCTTTGATTGTAAATAACAAAATATATATTTACAATTGTTTTACTCTTATTTGATAGCCTGTGTAAATTGAATTTTGTTTTTAAGGTTTACGCAAATAGGGTGACGGAGAGTGTGAGGATAAGGTAAAGGGCTCGAGAGAGTTCTTCAAGGGCTATGGCCCTTGAGAGAAATGTCGAAACACGGTCGATCAGGATTTATCCTTACTGCGATGCAGGCAGCCATATCCGACGACGCGTTATTTCGGCATCAGTGGAAAAAACATAATAAAATTTAACGGTCCGTCAGGCTGTGGCATTCCCACTGCCGGAGAGCAGCCAATAAATACCGGGAACAAGGCGGCTACAAATCTCAAGATAAACAGGAGCCCGTATTTTTCTACCCCCTTGACTTCCGTCGCGCTTCTCGCGCTTTCTCCGAGCTTCCGTGGAAAAGGGGTCTGTGCTGCCCTTTTTACATTCCTCGTATGAATTATTAGGTGGCCGGACTTAAGGGGTGGACACACCGCGGTATTTAATTTTCACTCCCCATTAAAACAGGACGAATTTTTCCCTAATCGCATCCCTGACGATGAAAGTGCGGTCGGCAGTTTGTCACCGACCCTTCGTTCCGTTATCAATGTATTACCACGCCTCGTCTCAGCGAGTCGTACATTAATTTAGAGAGATTGGCTTTTCGACGTGATTGCTTATCGAGTAAGAACATTTTCGATGTGCGTATTAACGAGACGAGGGATCTTCGGTGTCGGCGAGACGAGTACGTAAGCAACGCCAATTAAGGAGGACGGTGAGGTTGTAAGCATCAGGATACAGCTAAGGTTTAGCGGCTGCCGATGATGTATGTGGTGGAAAATACTGGGAGGCAATCTGTCACACCATCGACGTCCCACAGGCGCCTCTACTACTCTCCGCAGTCTCTCCTCCTCTTTGCGACTGAAAGCGTACGAGTATCATATACGATACGAGTAATACGTATACGAGTAATCTCGTTCGTTTATCATAAAAAAACAAATATTATCTTCAGTATTTTAATAAGTATTAATAGCTATGTTATTGTAATTACATTAATATTGTAATTACAGTCAATTAAATTATTATTTTTAATAATTTTAATTAATATTTAACAAAAGTCTATCTACTAATTTAATTGAATAATACCTCGTGTTTATAATTGAATATTCTCTTCGTATTTTACTGTGATTGGTCAATTCTTACAACCTTATAGACGTTGTAGAATGGGTTTTGTAAAAAATTTAATCAAATATGTAAATAAATTGTCCAATAAACAACGTTTTTTTTTTAATATCTCTGAAAACACAACTGGTATCTCCTCTGTTTTCTCGATACACAGGATACGTGCTATTCTTCTTATTTTTTGTAGTCTTTTTTTTCCAGTTGATCCTTTCGAGTATATGGCTGATTAAACGCGCGCAACTATGTAACGTAACGCAAATATACTGGGCCTCGAGCTTGCCTTGGCTTTCCTTTTTTGGTGTTCCTCATCCCCAACGGCAGCTTGGAGTCGTCCCGTTCTCGATTCCACCTTTCGACTCTCTTTGAATTCCAACCCCGGTCACTTGACGGAAATATTTATCGAGGGTCTCCAGCAGGGCTCTCCTTCTCCTTCGTTGCCTTGCTTCGAGCTAGACAGGACGACGACAGAACGACAACAGAACGAGACGCGGTTCCACGTAGTTCATTTCGATACCTTTCGTCGAAGCTCTACTGTTCCCTCTTCGACTATCACGCTCGTTCTCGCTCTCGCGAGTTCTTTGATCCATTTTACAGAGTTTGTTCGGTACTGATTATTTACTCTCTTAATTACATTTCGATTCTATCTCTTCTCGTCTTCTCAACGTTTATTCGTCGTACGACTGAATGACTGATTGTCAGTTCGGCCGTGCTCGCTTTTAATGCGTTTGCAAGATCGACCTGTGTAAATATACAGTATTTTACATTATAGATATATATTAAGTATATAATGTTGTATATTATTATAGAGCGTAACAAGAATGGTGAATGTAAAAAGATGACATTTTTGTCTTTTTTACCAAATGAATTTTCCGAATATATTAATATGAATAGACAATACACTTTCTATGTTCTATGACTAATATTGACATTTTTCAAATATATCATAAACATGTGAGTGTATAAGCTTTTGTATTAATTTCGGTAAGTATAATCGGGTTTCGATATTTCGACAAGATGATGACGTTTTTATATTCTTTGGTCTTCTCTCATTCTTTCTCGGCCTACAACGGCGGAGAATGAGAGCGCCAGGACCTGATTTACATTTCTTTCTCTCGTCGACATAAAAATTCCGCGGCGATAACTTCCTTTGTTCCACCCTCCGTGGTCGCGGGAACGACCGACCCCTGCAGCTCAAGAACTGCGGAAAGGGGGCGGCGCCGTCGTAACCTCGTCTAGTTTCTCGTTCATATTACATTTTTTCTTAATTAAAGGCAATACACATCTCTTGGAGGTAGACGCGAATCGTTTTTTGTTGTCGACGGCGATAGAGAAACCGAAACTTATAATATTGACAAAACAATACCTATTTGTCTAATATGTAGTTGAGGCTGTATGTTAAACGTAATATAATGTACAGTACACTGTGCTAACTATGTATTTATGTATACAAAATGTAAAACTTACAAGTTAATAAGAATATTAAAGAATATTGAATTTTTTAAAATCTTTTTTGATATATTAAAAAATTTACTTTTATTATTGTAAAAGCGCACATATGTTGATCATACACATAGATTGTTTAAAAAATGAAAAGTTTTTGATATATGAAAAGACTTATTTTTATTTTAACATTCTGTTACGTAATTGTTTTAAAATTATTACATATAATATGCATATAGATATGTATAATATAAGACAAAATAAAAATGACTCTAAAATATAAACTGTTATTATATTATTAAATACATAAATAAATTATATTATTAAATAATATAACATTTTTATGTTATTTAAATGAATTCTTATTATGATAATTAAAAAACGATACTTTTATTAATATAGATAATTACATAATTATTTTTTATCCGAAGAAATTATTATACGATCTGCGTCTCTATGTCTTATATTCGTGTTAATAAAGATTCAAACGTGAACAAATAATGACGATAATTTATTAGATTCGAACATTCTTTTCTATGCGACATTGCGCGAACGTAAAGTTCAGGACCCAGTATCAACCGTCCGAACAGCTTGATCGCTTTTTAAGTTGGCTGATAATTACCATTATATTTTCGCGGAAGTTTTCGCGATCGTACTTGAGAATTATGTTGGAAACGTCCAGAACGACGATTGAGCAAACCGTAACCATGCGACGTTTCGCAACTTTATACGTTCCTGATATTCTCTCGGAGAGCTCCTGGACAGTTATTCGCGATGGTCGTCGGGGATTTATGAAATGGCAATAAAATTTATATGACTCGGTGGATCGTTAGGGGTGCAGCTCGCTCGTTCAGATTGATGTCGGTTGTGCCGCGAGTCTGGTCTACTTGCCCGAGGCTACGTTTGTTTCTCCCTACGATCGTCACAGAACGGTCCACGCTCATTATTAATCCCTTGGAAATTGCGACAGTCATTTTACAATCACTGTATATAGAATGTAAAAGAGATACATTTTCTATCTAATATTTTGTTGAATCAATTTGGAATTTTATAAATTAAATATAGTAACGCATTGTAAGTATGCTTTTTTTAATCGCACAGATTGATCGTTGAAATTTACATTGCATGTATAAATTTTGGAGTGGGGCTGTATTCCGTCAGTTTCAACATTAAAGTAATACGATAATTTTCAATAGCAAACAATATCTCTTTACAGTGAGACATACTTTTTTATAATTACATTATATAATACAATCATGATTGCTCTTTGAGAGCATAAACACAACCTTTAAATAATAAACATATGCTGTTCAGAAACATAAATATTTTCGCGAGAAATAAACGAAAAAGCTCCCTTGTACTCTATATTATATTTATATTATTTCTTGTATGTAATTGTATGTTTAATAAGCTTTCATTAATTATTATCATATGTTTTATTAATTTAATAATTTAATAATTAAACTGAATTGTAATAAATAAATTTATTTATTATATATATGCAAGTACATAACTACACACATACGAAGAGGATTTATATATTTAAACATAATGCGGATCAATTGTTATTTAAATTATGTATAACTATAAAATTAATTAGACAAAATAAGTTTATTATTTTGGAATTTTCGAGTGAGTCCATATTTCTACCAGGTAAAAATATTTAATTTCAGCTTTTTCTTTAATAATATATATTACATTAATAAATCTTCAATAAATATAGTTGAAAGAATTCGCGACGTGTCTTATGCATAATCTTGCTTTCCTATCATTTGAGCTCGAGCAGAGAGAAGCGAAAAAAGGTGCTTCTGATAACTCACTTATGCAGTGAATCACGCGTGTGCTCTGCCGAGCATGATGCCTCGAGGACATGTCTGCTCTACCTGTTGCTCAATTCCCCATCGACGGTAGCAAGTATCGCGCGAAGAATTCGACGGCCTCTTTTTCTCTACGCTTCCTCCCACCTATCGCAATGTAGAAGAATTTGCAAACCGCTAAAGCGACTGCATTATATGAATTCTCAGAAAGTAAAATGATTTTTACTTATTGACTTTTACAACCACAAAAAGCGACATCGATTAATCGTATTGTCACGAATGACCGTGTTCCGTTAATTTTGTTACAGGTGGACGATCGAGTCAGATCACCAGGAACATCACGATGCCTGACCGCTACTACCATGTCACTTTCCATCTCGCCATCTAGCCCCGAAGAACCTGTTACGCTGTAAGTAATATAATATGTATACAACACAAATTTCAGAAAGCCGACTGCTATGTGGTGCTTCAAATGTTGTTATCAAGATGGACGATATCAAACATCTCTATGATATCCATCTCTGCTAGAATAGCTCTGCTTTCCTCCTGTTTGCGTAGATAACAAATTAGGATCAAAGAGACGCGCGTCGAAATAATATATTTTTATTATGGATATGAAATTTACCTTCAACATGATCAAGATATTTTATAAAACAACAAAACGACAATTTATTATTTCTATAATGTAATAAACTAAGCATAATTTTTCTTATTCCATTAAAATAATGTTGTTTAATCTTCGATGTAAAGATATAACTTAAAAAATGAAGCAAACACAACAACATAATATTCAAGATATAATTTTTTACTTGAAATCATAAACATTATAAACATGTATGTACAGCTATTATATAAAACTTGTCATTTTTTTAGTTGCTTACAAAAAAAACCAGAAACATAAAGAAAAAGAGGAAAGACATACTTGGAAAAACCATATTTTTATTCCTTTATAATCAGTTATTACACTAAAATTGCATTTCAAAAATTAATATTATGAAATATTACTACTCAAAGCATTGAAATTTCTTAAACTTTGTTTTTTGAGTTGTGTTGTTGTAACAAATGAACAATATACGTGTAGCATAAAATATTTTACAAAAGCTTCTTAAAAATACTGAGATTTATATATAATAAAAATAATATTAAATATTATTTGCTATGTACATAACGAAGAATTAATTTCTCTATATTGTCCAACATAAGAAAACAAAAAGTCGCGGTAAATGAATGTAGGGATGAGACCGCGCGATCGTTGCAGCTTCCTTTCCAAAAAGCCACTCAGGCAAATTAGTCGTGCAATACAGCAATGGTGTTCTCGTATGGTGCTACACCCTCGTTATCGGAAGTTTCTTCTCTCTGTCGCGCCGGCTTTCCAGAACACCACATAGATGGTATAGGGGCCACGCAGAAAGACGTACGGGGAGAGAGAGGTGATATTTATGCCAGTTTTTTATTGCGCTTTAGCCCGAGAGAGCAGAATGGAAACAATATGTCACCCGGGTAGGAAAAGCAGGGTGGTAGCAAGATGGGAGAAGGAGGAGGCTGTGCGAACTTCTTGTAGGTAGCCCGACCGGCGGTACCTAACGTTAATACTAACGCCTCCGTCGTGCTAGCGCCCTCCGACCGACGTCATGATTTTAAATGAACAACCCCCATTTCTCCCTTTTAGCCCGAAAACACGGGCGAACGACGGGATTGCCACCGTGCGTTTCGCGGCATTAAACGGTTTTTGAATTTGTTTACATTCTACTATTATTTCCATCTTAAATTATTCAGCGTAATCGATTGGCGCAGCGTACAAGTGAAAGTATATATATTTATAAATATTTGTAAGCTCTTTAGGCAGAATAAATCAAAATAAATTGTTTCGTTTGCAGAGTATGAACAAAATTGGCGTGTGAGAGTAAATATATGTAGATCAAACTATATATAAATAAATCTCCAATGATTTCGCGGCAAGATCGAAATATTCGAGGTCGGACAATTTCCAGTGATTCTGCTTATCGTTCGGAAGTGCGCGAAAAAGAAAAGGAAAAAAGAGAAACGAAAAAAGGAAAGGAGGGAAGACTCGTTATTCGGGGTCTCAAGAGTCATCGGATAAGTGCATATCGATTTCTCCCTATTGGCGAGGGTCGGGCCGTCGTCGGTAAGATCGAGGCGAATGGGGAAAAAAGAAGGCGGTAAAAAGGGCAAAGGCTATAAGTAACGGACCGTCTGGTGGAAAGCGCTCGAGGGCGAACAGTGATTTAGAGAAATTAAAACTTTAATTCATGTTCGGGTTCATGGGGGGTTGTGTCCTCTATCCCCTGCCTTCTTTCCCTTCTTGCCCAAGCGCTGCTATGGCATTCTCTGTCCCCGTCGATCGACCAAAATCTCGCTCTGCGCGTAAATTGCCAAGCCCAACTAATGCTCGTTTTGCTTTGCTATTCTCGCGGCTCTTCTATATTTTCATATACTAATCCCGTATTACATATACTAATCCCGTATTACATAAGCTTACATGCCCCACGAATCAATATATGTATTTGTTAGAAAATACGTGTGAACGTGAGGCAGTCTATTTGAATAATTCACATTGTGAACCTAATTTGTTACTTAAACAATTCCTCGGTTGAAACTAAAAAGTTATATTTACATATTTAAATAACACATTTGGCAGTCTAGATATAAAATATAAAAGAATGCCTTGAATATATATCATATAATGCAATAGAAACGTCATTCAGCAAATGCAAAATCTATTTGTTTGTCAATCGGGAATCTGTAAGATCAGATGATTTATAACAAGAGATCAAACAAATAAATGTTTCAGAGCCGATCATACGTGTCTATATAATCACGATTATCATTCTGATTAAAACTGCACATGTATTTTATAGCACACATGCTAGATCGATCTGCGTATAGCCGACAAAAGACGAATAAAAATTCAATATTGTACTGAATATAAGCACATGTATACTTTATTGCTTAATAACTATATTAACTATATTCTTAAAGAATTTTCTCCCCAAACTGATAGAAGTTATCCATAAGCTCTCATCTATAGATATTTCTCCGAAAATGTATTGCCCATTTATTAACTTGTAATATCAATATAGTTAAAGAATTAACTCATTACTATGAATGTAATTTATGTGAATCGCGTTTTCTCCAACTTTGCTGTTCATTTCAAGTAGATTATCTTTAATGCAATTTTAATAAAAATTTTTAATTTAATTTTGTTTATATTATAATTTTATGTTGAGAAAATGCGCGATATTTAACCTGTTTTTACTGTGTCCCTTTATGTCTAATATTATTACTTATAATCGTGAGAATTCTAAATCTATAATCATGATTTTAAAAAGTAACAGACCCGCAGATACAAAAGCGTCATGATAAATCTGCATTTCGGAAGACGTCCTTACAAACTTTTATGAGCCATGCAGGATATAGAATATGAGGAAAGGACGTACCCTTTATCTTCCTTTCCCTTAGTCTGTTGTCCCTATCACAGTTTCTCTCTTCGTCCATCCTTCTTCCATACTGTTATTCTCTCTCCTCGTCTCTACGTATCGCGCTTTGGCTTTTAGGGCAACCTCCGCCTCCAATAAATTCCCATCACTAGCTTCCAGGTACGCCTTCGTCGAGTAAATCATACCGTAAGTGAATCCGAATTGAATGCAATGAGTAAATATGGCTTTAGTATAATGAAAGGCAACCACGAATGTGTCTGGTGGAAACCACGACAATCGATTTCCAATCCATAATAAGAAAAACTTTCTTTGCTGTTATTACCACACTGTATTATAATTGCAATTTAAATTTATTTTTGACATATCACGTGTGCATTTATGATATATCTTACTAATGCTACTTTTGAGGAAATTCAAGCTCCTTGCATCTCTATATATACTCGTATATCAACTACATTATTTTTCTTTATTGCGCGAAGCGAATATAGCCGATTTACGCGTGTTTTCGACGTAGTTTCCGCCCGCATGTATGCGTGAATGCGAGTCAAGGAGCAGCCAGTCGGTGGAAATGCATAAATACATGAGTCGCGGGGCAACGAGCGAAAGAGGGAGACAAGCTTGGCCCGCATATGTAGCGAGCGACTCGTACCTCGTAATAACGTGTGGATAGCGGTTCTCTCGTCGTGAAAATATGGTCTTTCAAAAGGCTGTAGTTTCCCCTCGAAAACGGGCATAGTTTCGCTCGCTGTCGAAAAAGAACGAGAGGGCACATGAGAAATGACAATCTTATTCCACAACTTCTTGTCACTAACTCTGTCTCGTTCAACGATTCTCTGTCTATAGTATAACAGAGTATATAACTTCCCCTTGTTACTGCTTTGTCTAATAATTTTTCATCACATAGGTTATTATTTTTAGAAATCTATTTAATTTGTAGTTTAATATCTCATAGGTGTGTGAAAGAGTACGAATCTCTCCACTCAATCTTTTATAGTGCAATCGGCGACTGCGTGCATAGTCGAGGGATTGTAACCATTAAATTTTCGTGAACGTGACTCTTGAGATTTTTCCTAATCCCTTGCGATCGACTCGATTAAAAGTCGAAGGAGACTGTGAAGGAACGAAACGAAGCGATGACTGCGTCGCAGGAAGCGCAGAAACTGAATACAAGGGGATGACTCTGCAGGCATTAGAGAGGCGAGATTCGCATTCCCGCATTACTGTCACGCGAGTAATTACGCACCGTCGAAAGCAACGGTGCGACAGGGTGGAGGAGATGGGGGGAGGTGGATGCAGGGACGAAAGGAGCAAGAGGAGTTAGAAGGGTTGCTGTCGCTGCGCCACTGGCGTCTCCCGGCGTTGCGCGATTCGCAGCCAGCGGGAGAAACCAGAGCTAATAAAAGCCCACAATTACCTCCGGTTCGAGCCATTTGTCTTGACGGGCGTCTCATGCCCGATATAATTCACCCTGGCAACAACACATTGTTGCCTAATGAGGTGTAAAACATTCCGAGATATCTGGCTGTCTCGGGCTGCGAGGGCGGTTTCCGTAGAGGCGATTCACGATATCGCGATAGCCCTTTCCCTTTTGCGCTCAGTCTGATTCTTCTTCGTTTTAGAGAGATCTTATGGAATCTCGAAATTTTTCGATCCGCGTATCTATCCTTCTTTGAGAGTTGCAAATTACATTAGAATTAATCGGCGGGAAAATTTTTAATAAATCTTAAATCGTGCGCGCGCGCATTGTAAAGAATCTGGGAATTAATCGACGGTAATTCTAATAATAATCTGTAATGTATCTTCTATATTGAATTTATTTCTTAATATTGGATGTATCAGGCATGTATGTATATGTGTTTTATTAGTCACACAAGTTTGTTGCAATCAAAATTAATTTAGCCTATCAAGCATATTACAACTTTTCATTTTCAAGATTTATACGTCCAAGTAA